TATCAAACTGTCTCCCATGCCACTGCACACCGCCAACACTTCCCAGATATCCTGTTGGCTTTTACAGCCCTTCAGTGCTCCTATATTTAACACCAGCAAGGCAAAATTAACATTCGAGGCAACTTATAGTCTCAGTGTCCTGGGAAAGGCTTCTGTGATAAAGCAGCAGTTAGACTGTTCTGAGCAGAAAACTGCCAGAAAAACGATTGGTGAGGCATCAGAGTATTACTGGAGCCTTTTCCAGGGGGGTCTGATTTTAACGAAATCAAAATAAAAGGTGCTATTTAAACTAATCGGAGTACATTTATTTGGGAAGACTAAAGAACTTTTTCTTAGGGGGGGCTAGCCACGCCCACATAAGATGAGCTCTCAGAAAGTTTCCAGACAATCTTGGTTCATGAAAGACACCCGTAAAATGGGTCTTGCTGCAGGGCTGTTCAGGAAAGGTCACCATCTCTCGTGGGAAACCATTTATTTTGCTATTAGCTGTAATCGTTTTACCAACATCACCGTGCCACCCGAAAACATTACAAGAAACCCGTTTGTTTTTTTTTGGTGATGCCTGCCAGCGTACTTCGTATTCGCACTGCACGGCTTTGTCGCGCGAGTACGTCCTATTTTGTAATACAGCCCAGCAAAGCGCCTCCTCTTCGGGCAAGTATCCCGGCAACCAGATAACAGAAGAGGAAAAACATCCTCACGCCGCTGCCATCAGACCAGACGAGCCGCATTTCTGCCAAACACTCATCTTTAAAACATCTCCCGGGGTTGCGCCGGAGCCAAAATGACGGGTTCTGAGTCACGGCTCGGAGATGCGGGGCTGGGGGTGGCTGCAGGTGAGCCAGGTGCAGGTAGAAACTTCTCTAAGTATAAGACGAGAGTAACTTTTTCGCTGTGTGAAAAATAATGCCTTTATATTTCGCATTATTATGGAGCACGGCAGCGGGACGTGTTTCTAGGTCGCGGCACGGATCGCGCGCGCAATTTTCCTTTTACAGATTTTAATAAGGAGGACAATAGCGAACGAAACAGGGGATTCTGGTCTTTTTCTTATCATGCTGTGAAACGCAGCTGTAAAATACCATTTTTGTCCTCTCCAATCTCCCATATATGCGAAGTGCGAATGCGACTTTTACCTAAATAACAGCTTTAAGTAACGCTGAAATTAAAATTAAGTTACGCATTTCGTGATCTTGAGATAATTAACTGTTTACAGGATACCGATTTAAAAGAATTGTGTGCATAACGTCCTACTTCAACAAGCTAACAAATGCACTTATGAAAACGGGAAGTAATAGGCCTGCTGGTACCATGAGAAGACAAAAAAATACTACGACTAACAACAGAACTATTATTATTAATAGTTCTTTTGTTATTATTATTATAGTCACTTACACACCTTCTGTGGGGGAGCTGCCAAGCAACATTCTCTATAAAAGTCACCTTAATGAACTGCGGCCTATTAAAAAGCAGATGGGGTTGTTTAAAGTAAGAAACTTTTGTTTTCGTACACAGGGAGTGCTGCAGACGAAAGCCGGGACCAAACCGAGCTGAAACTCGTGTCGAAACACCACGGCGCTGTGGCCATGGTGTTACCGTGCCAACCGTGTCCTGCACCTGGTCACACCGGCTGACACCATTAAAGGTGTGCCCCACGCTCAGCGCCGCTGTCCACGCAACACCCCAGCCGAAAACAAATCCAGTCTGTCACTCGTTTGACACAGAAAGCCTCTCATCAATTCCCTGTGGGCTCATCTGTTCCGCCCCCCACTCCCGTCGAAAGAGCACCCCCCCCAGCCATGTTTCTGGATGCACGCAACGTTCCCACCCAGACACAGATGCACACAGGCTGGATTAATTCTGCGAGGTATGCAAATGACCTGAAGCTTCTAAAACTGTTTCTGAAACACAGACGATGGGATTCTGGGATGATTCACGCAGGAATTTCTTGGCAAAATAAGTTTAGTAATAACGAAATGCAAGGCTTCAATGAGTTAAATCTCAAAAAAAAACTTCTCCCCTGTACCAGACAAAAGAAAACATTGCATTATTGGCATGCAGATGCATTGGGTGGGGCATTCAGTGGGAAATAAATCTTTGATTACAAGTTATTATTAGTTATCTGAAGAAAAGTAACATCCAAGTATCTTGCCTGTGTTGTCTTGTGAATGTATTCAGTTCTGGAAAACAAGCGTGGGGTGTCTCAAGACATATTGGGGAAGTGTGGATAGAATGCTGTACAGACAGACGTGTGCAAGCTCTTTTTATGTTTGGGGCTTGTTCATGCCATCTGCATGTCTTAATTCAAAGCAGCAGGGTAGCTATTGAAGGCGCCCCCTGATGAATTTCTGGGGATTAAAATGCCTGTTAATGAAGATCACTAAAGCCTTGTACCCGCCTCACTCACTCACACTCATACTCACACACTCACACACACACCTCAAAATGCCACTAAAGTCCATTCTTCAAGGTCATCAAATCAAAATTAAAACCTAATCACCGAAACATTTCATGCATAATTAATGATGTGACAATTCTTTAAATAGGAATTTCAGCTTCTGCCATCTCAGGTATGATGGGGCCGAGTGACGCACCAACCCTGAAGTTTCTGAAGCGAAAATTTGCGAAAAAAAGTTGACCACACCATAAAAGTTCCCCTGATTAGTCAGCGAGACCAGGTCAGGCTTCACTTTGAAGCCTTTCGAAAATCTTCAATGAAAATATTTGCACCCATGAAATACCAGATCCACTCGCAACATTCACACCTTTTCTCCTAGAGTGGACCCTGTGATGTCAAAGTCTTTTTAGAAGGTAACAGAAACTCATACGCAGATGAGAAATGAGCTATTATTACACTGACTGTGCCGCATGACTATGAGTGACAGGCTGTGTGAGTAAGAAGCGATTTATTTACCTCACCTCCATATTCAGCACCGCATAATGACAACAGCAAAACTGTAAGCCAATTAGTAACCCGGACACACAGAGTGACAAACTTTCAGATACACTATTAGTAGGTGAACTCTCGGCAGGACCAGTTACACCATGAAAACTAACTTTCCAAACTTAAGTAAAACTCAAAAGTTGGGTTTGTAAAAGGCCTGTAATACAACATGTGGAATTGCTACAGCTTCAGACTAATCCAACTTTAAGAGGAATTACAATAAAGTTCCTGAAAGAAACCAAGGCCTCCATCTCCACATGGGACTTACTGATCACACTTACCGATTACTGATAATAGGACTCTTGTCTGTCATTTGGTGCACTGACTGTTTAACGCTTTAGCCAAAGAGACAAACTGGCCTGTGACAATTTCAGCTGCAGAGAAAAGCAATGACGCGAGAACAGAATTGTCCAGCAGCAGGAGAGAAAGGGAAGGCAGTGAGGAATATACCATAGCTAAGTGATTGCAGACTTGGTCTGGCCAAAGCTCTGGGGTCTTGGGAAAGAGAGGAGTCTACACTCATTCTTTCAGCAGTGTAAACAGCAGCGGAAGAGGCTGCTGGGCCAGGTCAGAGGCCTTCCTTCAAAACAGCTCAAAACTTTATCCATCTTCAATACAAACAAAACCACACAAAATACACTGATAATACAGAATAAATCTGAAAAAGTACATCTGTATTACAAACCTAAATCTATAGCACAGTTCCAAGGTCAAATCGTCAGCAAACATTAACACAATTAAGGCACAGTGCTTGTTGCACAAAAAGGAGTAGCGCCAAGACCAGAAATATTTGCACTGCAAGCCGTAGAGCTGTATGGTCGCTTACTTAAGGAACAGTAAAGAAAGCACACATGAAGGTCTAACAGAGCGACACCGTAAAAGATTTTAATGGCAGACACGTGAAAAAGACCCCCTGCTCTGTGGTTAATAGATTCCAAGAGTCATTTGTCAGTCTGACACGGACAAACACACCAGGCCAACAAATCACCGACATGCTAATGTTTGTGCTAGATTAACGTAACTGCCGCCCCTCGTCATCCCACCAGATCATCTCGAATTATTAAACCCGAGTAAACAACGCAAATAATTTAAATGTGTAGCACAAATCCTCCCTTCAAACGGCTTTGACTAGTCCGAAAAACTTAGGGGAAGGATTTTACAGAAAAGAAGGAAAATAACCAGATTCTTTTTTGAAAGCCTGAACCCCAAATAATTATATGGGGGGGTGGGGGGGGGGGTTCTGTTACAAAAGAGCATCCCCCCCCCCTTTACCATTTTCACATACCTATTCAAACTAAGACATCCTTATAAGGACACGGGTGTGAATTGTGGTAATCAACCTCAAACCAAAGCTCTGGGAGCTGAGACGGAGTGACCAGAAGACTGTAGGCTGCTTTGGCAACATGCCCAGTCTTAACTCTTCCCCATCTTGGGTTACTCTTTAATTCTGTCTTTTACTGAACTGTCCGCAACAGCCACAACAGCTCAGATCCTGCCAGGGCATGCCGGCACGCCTCACTTTGCTTTCAAATCCAATCGATTTGCCTGTCAGCCCCCCCCAGCTAAAGCTTACAAGGTCCACCGACAGCTCCCAATCAAGCTACTCATGGACAGTGAAGAACGGGGGGGGGGGTTCGGAGCCTTGCCAATGACTCGCCACACGACGGAACGTCTTCCTCGTGACAGCGTGCAGCCAGACGCCGCTTGGAAGGAGCCTGAGGACCGAGCTAGCCGACTTTGCGGATAGCAGGCATGTAGCTGGCCAGAGACGTTCACCGAAATCCGAAATATCAGGAAATTCCACATTAGTGGTATGACGAACCCTGAGTCAGGAGAGCAGAGGCTTTCTGGGAGATTACTGGCCTGTCGTCTCATAAATGAGACGCCTGAAAGCTAACATGCTAAACTACCGCAACGCTGCGACTGGAACGTGAGTCTGTGCGGCAGTGGGGGGGGTTTTCATCAGCCAGATACAAATGTTTGTTAGTTTGGTGCCCAAAAAAAATTAATAAAATGATTTTAGTCAGGGTAATTAAGAAAAAGTCTGGAGAGTAGGAGAGAGGGAGACAGAAGCTCGGGGCATACCCATTAGCACCTGCGTGTCGGTGTGTGAGGAGGATATTTTGTGTGCATGTGTTAATTGTTTTGTAGGTATGTGTCATTAATTTGTATATACGCATGTGGAAGGCTGACTCTCTCCTAAAGCCTGTCTCTCTCCTAAAGCCCGTAACTGACGTGTGTCTGCAGCAGCCCGAGGGGGAAGGAACTCCTTTTCCCCTGAAGGCTCCCTAGAGGACACCTCCCAGATATGGGGTGGAGGGGGAGGGGGTATATATTCCTTGCCAATTTTTTATGCTTTCAGCCTGGTGGGGGAGTTCTGTAACGACTTTGAGTCACATGGTGTGTCTGAGGCTCGAGCCAGGAAAACAATAACAGAAAACGGCCATATTTACACCAATTAGGCGGTGAACTCTGAACTCAGGGCTGAGAACCTCAGACAGTGCGTACGACCACCTCATATAACACCGCCGACCTCTGAGATCCCATCTTCCCCTCCTGCTTTGGCTGTTTCCAAGCCGGACAGCACTTCAGAAACACAGCTACTTAAAGGATCCTCTTGCCATTTTTGCACATGTGTGTTCCCTGCGGGATACTTTTCAGGAATCCACAGATGTTTATGAAAAACAGGCTAGAGACACAGCAAGTTCAAATTAGTATGCACAAAAAAAATAAATATCAATCGCTGTTTCCTTTATCTACACATCTCCCAGATCAGGAAAGCGAGTCCACTCATCAGGACTTAACTCTGCTAGCGTGCTGGTCGTGAGCCCAGCTTCTAAAAGGATCTGACACCTGCTGCCAGTCACAGTGACGCCGTGTCACAGCTCCAGGCTGCTGTCGTCATTGGACGGACCAGTTTGCGTGTCCCGTGTCATTGCTCAAATGTGACCTCTTGCAGATTCCGTGATGTTAGCATCGTTAGCATTATTAGGAGAATCTATCTAGGCCACGACAAATAACAGCTCAGAATCGGCCATCGCACAAAAACAATGCTCTGAAAATCTCACCATCCCAACCACACACACACACATGCTGTCATTTAAAGAAAACCAACACCAGATGAGAAGTACACATATTCCCCAGAATTAACCTACATAGCCGGATGTTTTAGGAGTGATAAACCACTGGAAATTATATTCTCACATAGGTTTGGGTTGCAGGAATGACATTTCACACAGGATATTCGACTGGAATATGAAAGACTTCACACAACTTAGAGTTTACAAAAAAAAAAAACAGTCAGTCCTTATTACATGACTTATTCTTGATATTAGGTAATAAATACTGCATATTACACAATGTTTAGCTTAGCTTCTTTGAGCGTGTGTGCGTGCATGTGCGTGTATCCTGGCAAGACAACCTTCCAGATTCGTACAGCGTGTTGAGCAACTTTGCTGAGTGTTCAATGGAAAAAAAAACGAAGTAGGACAGTCCAGCTGTAAACAATACTTGCATTCGTAAAGTATCTCCTGTCGTCAAAGGCCCCGGGCAGGACGTGGAGGGACGAGCGCCTCCCCACCTCTTCAAAGCGCCGGTTCCCTTACCGTACATCTTGCCCTCATCGGAGAGGATGATCTTGCGCCGGCCGCAGGGCGGGTAAATGGCCAAGGCTTCCTGGAAGCTCTGCTCGATGTCGGGGCTCCACACGCCCTCGGCGTCCCCGTCCATGGCCTTGTCCATCTCATCGCTGCCCTCCTCCAGCGCCCCCTCCGGGCTGCCGTTCGCGTTCCACTCGTTAGACGCAATGGTGACGGAGGCCCCCCGGGGCTGCTGGGAGAGAAGGGGGGGGGGGTAATTAAAGAAAACGAAGAGGTGCAGATGTAGGGAAGTGCCATTGTGTGCAATTTTATTCAAACAAACAAGGGCAGAGATCCCATTTTTGTTCGGTTTTATCCTTGTTTGGTATTTTGCGACACCTTTAGGGTGTACATCAAATCACATCATTTTATCTGACAGGTGAGTGAATAAAAAAAGTTGTATGCAAAGTCCCACAACAACAGCTACGAAATAGGAAGTACACCAAAATGATATATATAGCATTGTAGTTATAGATAGTGTGAATGTTAGGGTTAACCTGCAGCTAATGACGGAACAACTTTAATACCCGTGGGATTATCACGACCTGTCAATCGCTACCTGGCTCTACAGAGACAGTGACAATACAGTAACAAACAGGGCAATGCTTGAAGCAGTCAGTGGTGGCTCGCAATGCACCCCTGCCATCACTACATAGCCCTACTGACCCTTCTACTTGCTTGCCCTCTCCATGTATGAAGTACCTCCACTGCAGACATTTAAAGGTGTCCAAGCCACTAACCGACAAACTGCCCGGCTGATGCCTCAAAAATGTAAAAAATACCAACCTCCTCTATTCA